TTATTTATTGTGCACTTTATTACTGTTAGGTTAAGTATAGATTACTTCATTAAAACAAGGTTATGTATAGGTTACTTTATTACTGCCAGGTGTATGTTTAGGTTACTTTATTAATGTTGGGCTATGTATTGTGTACGTTATTACTGTCATATGTTATGTATATATATGGTACTTCACTATGTCATGTTGGATTTGGTTGGAATTATATAATTTTGCTCTTGACATTTAGAAAGCATGCAAATTAAATGTGTTAATCTAGTACGATTTAATTCTATCTCTGTATATGTAGATTGGCTTTGAATTGTGTGTGGTTGTATTTTAAGAGTTAGTTGATCTTCATGTCTTCTAAAGTAGCCACAGATTTACCATCATATCACTCCTAGCAAGATAAACACTACATTACAGTTTACTTGTTTTGTTTAAATGTATATGTGCTTGTTTAATTTTAAACTAAGCCACTTTCGTACATATAGATGTCTACATCTAGGATGTTCTGTAACTGAGCCCAACGCAATAAGCTGGATTAATATATGGACCTATGGTGGTTGCCTCCCATGGATACACTCAATCTATTACACAGACACACCCAAACACCCCCACCCTGTTTTTTTTTTTTCAATTTCGCCTCTGGTCTGCCTTCTTTCTATTGCAACAGCATCTAAAATAATCTAGATGTAACAAATGAAAAACTTATGTAAAGATCTACACTACTCTCTTGAAGTAAATCTATTTTCTAGATCAATATTTATTTGTAACTAAGTTGTCTAAGTTCGTAATTTAAAAATTATTCATGGAATTTAGAATCTGTTGAGATCTAGAAAAGTCTAGTAGACAAACAAGATTTTTATAGATGTAGAATAAGTACATTTCTACAAATTGTATAATACAGATACGAAAACATAATTTCGTTTACTTACAAATACACCACACACTGAGCAGACGGCGACCATAAAGTTTCTCAATGGAAATAATGGAATGTTTGTATTGCCTGTCTACACACAGCCGTGTGTCAAGCGCAGCGTACGCAAGTTACACTTACCGTGACCTAGTCCCAATCTCTGTGTTTTCTTGACTCCCGAGTCGCCTTGAAGAATGCGAGGGTTGAGAGGGAGAGAATCTAGCAGTAAATTTTCATCGGCAGATACATGAGTTACCCAAAAGTATTATTGTTTGCAAAGGATCGGTACCAAAAAAACATTTCCTTTGTAGGTCATTTATAAAAAATGGCCAGAGAATTCTTTTGATAATAAAGTAGGTATGAAAAAAAAAAAACAACTTTTGCTCTTTAGTTCAATTACGACATGGAAATGATTCGCAGTCTCAATGTGGCGCTCGGGGAAGCAAAAAAGAACCCTTGTTTGGGGTGCAATGGTGAGCGGGGAGCCCCAAAAATCGTGTCACTATCAATATCCACACAAGGGACTTTTTTTTGTTTTGGTGGAACCTCCTCTAGTGATCACCGATGTGATTTTAAAAAAAGGAATATGGTGGATTTTGCCCAGGTGATCAGCCTTCGGCCTCGATTCAAACCTGAGAGTAATAAGGATGTAAGGCCAAACAAATTACATCTGCATTAGCTCAGTCAGGCGCAGGCCAATGATAGGGAGCTTCAGTGGGCCTAGAGTTTCAAGAGTCTTCGACTTTTACAGAATTTCAGAGAAGTTCAATGTCACCATTCGAGGCTTCGAGCTCGCCATGATAGATGACGTCAGTTTCTGGACATTGCATAAATTAAATACATATGTCTACCAAATAAACTATAATGTAATTTTAAAAATGACACGTTTGATGTTTTTATGTATAGAATCAAAATAAATAAAAAAAAAAAAAAGAGATTTGATCTCGTTAAATGAAGTAAATGTAAAAGTTTGTACATAAAGTTGTGAAACGCGCTAAGATTCACACATGTGTTTGTCAAACCCTCTGACTCATTTGCATCCCTAACATGCCACCATCAACAACAAGAAAAAAAGTCTTGCGCAATCACGCTCAACCTTTAACATGTTTTTACAAAGCTTATATCAGGTCCTTCTGTCTGTCTGGTACACATCTTGTAGTCTACACATTAGTTCTCCTACTTTCCATTCTCTGATCAATAAAAAAAACTGTGCACGATTATTCATTGTCCCTGACAGCACACGAATCAATAAAAAAAACTAACCTATTAATCAATTAATTAGTGGTGATTAATTAATTGTTTGATTTAGAAAAATGGAAATTTTTTTTTTTTCAGTATTGAGAACTATGTTGGTAAATGTAAGTTCTTTCACTTATATAAGCTTTTTCTTTTTTAAAAAAGTATTTTAAAAACATATATCTATATATTATATTTTAGAGTACCAATCCCGGAAAAAGAGAAAAACAAAATGATACAACATTAACTAAAATTAAATGAAAGTACTTGACAATAAACCAGTAGACCAAATCATTTACACTAGTAGACAATTGTTTAATCAATGATCCAATCAAAACAGATTACAAAGAAACAAATGAACTGGATGACAAGTTAGCTTCGAGTTCACATTGTTTGAATTGCAACTCAGATATAAGTCCATCTTTACAACGCCTCTATTACGTCACCCTGTATCTTTCTTGCGTGTTTGAATTTTCGCGATCGAATTTTCTACCACATCTACTCACCCAATCGTCATCTAATTTTGTATACAAGCTCCCCGGGCATGCTACCCTGCCTCATAGTGGCGCCCGGGTGGAAACGATTAGGCTAAAGGGTAGCAAAACAAGACTCCCGTGGGGGTGCCTAAGGGGGTGTGAAAGCATCCTCATTGCACTGTGCGGAATTGTAAAAAAGCTCCCTCAACCTTGTCACAATGCAGGCGCTGTCCCTCAAGAGGCCGTTACATAAATGGCGTGTCCCGCACAGTTAGCCTGGTATAGAAAAGGAAAATGGCGGGGGTCTTAGTGGACGCGGCCTCTTTCAGGCCAGTGAGAGGGAGCTCTTGTTCACTTTTGCTGGCCTAGAGTTTCAAGAGGAATTACAAAATAAAAATAAAAAATACACACACACACTAGTTCGCCTTCGTTACAAATATTTGAAGGTGCCGCATCTGTCACACACGTATCGACTTTGCTACACGGTCACAGATCTATCGCTAGTTCTCACCAGGAGGAGCAAAACCATATATTGCAGCAGAGATTTCTTTGCCAGTCATGGTGTGATCTCTCAGGGCTTCTAACATTTGTGTTATTTAAAATCCCTGTACCACAAACTCAAAGGGGTTTATTTTGGACGTAGGTGGACATTCGGCAATAGAAAACATTTTTGTTTTTAAGCATTCGAACTTATAATACTGTGGACATTCGACAGGCCGGCTATGACCCGCATGCCGCATTTTGGGCATCACTCCTCCAGGTGATATTCTAAGAACAGCTTAATGTATTGTCTATGTAAGTGTGTGTGTGTTTTGTGTAAGTTGTTTTGTGTTATTATAGTGTGAACTATAGAGTTACGGATCAAGTTATAGACCTAAGATTTTCCAACTGTTAATTTTAAATCTGATTAAAAAACAACAACGCTAAAATGGTTAATTTTACATATGCAGACCTACATGTAGATAAGTGCCCGTAAAACAGGATCCATAAGCTACTATAAGCTCAAAGCCTCAACAAATACAGGTAAAATACCTGACAGTGAAAATACTGCGTTTTGTTTCCACCATGTTTCAGGTCTTCTGGAAGTAGGCCTACAGGTAAAATACTTGACAGTGAAAATATTCCGCATGTTTTGTTTCAGGTCTTCTGGACTTAGGCCTACATCGGTTTAGATACCAAACTCTTCGTATTTTGGTGCACATTTGTTTTCCTCAACCAGTGATATTGAGATTTACAACTTAATGACGTGCTTTCAAATTAATTCTTGGAAATGCACACATTAATATGTAAGGAAAAACTTATGACCAGAGTAATGTCTGCCAAGAGAAGATAAAACGAGAAGCAATAGCGACCATTGTAGTCGAACAGACTATCCATTGGTTTGGACCAATGGCATAGACTTTTGTTTTCTGCACACCAGATACAGGCAGATACAACAACAACAACAACAACAACAAGCTTGCTATTTGTGAATTCGCTTCCACTTTTATGAAATCAGCAAATCAATCAAAGCCTTGACATTTTTTTTTGGGTTAAAGTTCACACATTTCTTTTTTTTTTTGGAGTGACAGCGGAGTTTCTATGTAGATTTAATTTACATGGCAAAGAAGATTTAAAGAAAAGGTTTGCCACTTTTGGCATGCGCTCTGGACTGATCTTAATGGTCCTGGGTTTGAACCCTGCCTGCTGTCCTGCAAAGGTTTGGTCTAGGATGTAATTATGTTCAAATCCGAAACATTTTTTTTCCATCTTTCAATTTACCATGCAAAAAAAGCTTTATTAATGACATCATGGACTAGATCTCTATTAAAAATCTCATCCAATATCTACTTATAAACTGATGCACTACATTAGACCTTATAAAGAAACTAAGATTGCAATGTTAAACACAGATCATGCTATCTTACTTGTAGAGCCTGGCTGGTTTCATTGATCACCTATAGTAATTAATATTACTCAAATCCTAGAGCTTCAAGTGCTGAGTTTATTGTGTTGTCCTGATAAAAAGTATTAGATGGATGGATACTGCAGATTTATTTTATTAGAACAAAAGTCAAGGGATGACATTTGGCAGTATTGTTTATCTTTCAGAAAGAAGAGATAAAGATGAGAATAAACAAGAAGCTGTACTTCTAATTAAAACAGAAGATATACATCTCTATTACTTATCAAAAATACCAATTAAAATTCATGATTTCAAATTTCAAATAACATTAAAAAAAGAAGCAAATCAGAATGTAGTCAAAATGTTAATTTATTTCTGTAATTTCTTTTCCAGTTATACACACTTCCAGATATTCCAAATCTTGACATACAATAAAATTAATTCAAATTCAAAACTAAACCTAAACAATCATTTAAAAATAAAATAAAAATCAGGCCAGCATTTAAAAATAGTCAACAAAATCAAGTAAAACCTGCTGGTTCAGATAACAAGAATATTTTTCAGGGGAGCTAAGAAGTGTGATAAGAACTAGAAGGTAGGGAAAGTGGGTGAGAGGGACTATGCATATGTGTGTGTGTACTTACATATGTCTGTACAGTTCATGTGTGGGGTGAACATTCTTCTTGCTGTAGCTACAGGTCAGAGGTCACAATTTCAAAACAAAAACTGATTGAGTGTGCAAAAAGATCATGCACAAGAGTGTATTGGTCTAGTTTTAGTTGGGTAAATATTTTGTCAGGGAAACAGGAACCAAAAAAGAGAAAGGGATACAAAACTTGATAGGCCAATGTCAAGGTTAAACTATACAAGAGAAACATTGTCATGTCTGAGGTCAACACAATCACATGAAGAAGAGACAGAAAAAACAAACAATTCCATTGGTTTTGCATAATTTGTTACCTAATGACAAAACATGAAACAATTTGATCAACCACTTTTCAAAACCAATCATGATGAAGCTTCCGCAGCTTAGTCAGGGAAGCTAACAGCAACAGAACAGTTCATCTACAACACCCTGCATAGAATTTCTAGCATATATATTTTTTTATTTTTTAGAATTTGGTTGATTAAAAAAGTGTTTTTTTTAAAAATCTATTAAACACTTGTAGAAATCATTGCCGAATCCCAGAAGATGCATATTCATTTTATCTGACTGTAGAAAAACAACTCGACTCATTCCTTACAATATACTACCATGACATGCTCCACTTGAAGGGTTATGTCCCCTAACAACTTAAGAATCATGAGCAACTATTTTATAATCTATTCCATTGTATCAACATTCTGACAAGTTGAAACAACAAGTGTTAGTACAGATTTTTCATGGTACAAAATCATTTCATTCTCTCCACAAAAACATTTTTGTAATGGCCTTGAATCACTGATAGGAAATGATCATGTCAACAAACACACAATTTCATTGGTGCCCAAACACTTTGACCTGAGGGCCAAATAATTTCCCTTATCTGTCTGTCAAAGGCTGTACCAAACAAAATTTGTCAGGTTCTGAGCTTCTGCCACTTCATTATGCACTCTGGGCAGAAGGTTTAACAGGCTGGACAGTGCCACAGGCTGGGCATCATTGTTCTAACACTCAATGAAAACAAAACTCAGTAGCTTGTATTTAAAAAAACAAAACAAATAATGCTTTACTGTGTAGATCTTTGTTACTAACAAGGCAACAAGCAATCAAACCAAACAAGAAAGAAAGAATCAATGGTGTCACACGAGGGTTGGCTGACACCAATCCTAGTGATGCCACTGAAGATATATAATATAATAACATACCTTGATTTACTTCAGAAAGTTACATTTGTTTCACTCTGTGACTGGCCATGTGTTCACAAAGACAAGATTAACCTCTGTAAAGACTGGCACACATTTCAGTTTACAAGCATTGACTTTATGGTCTCAATGTTTTGCAGATTCCATTTCATCACCAGAGATAAGACTCTAATTACATACTTTTGTTATCTTGGTTCAACTGAAAATCAGGGGAGATAAGTTTCACCCACATGTTAAATGCTTTTATTGTGTCCGAACAAGGAGTCCACAAAAAGATACCCTGTTGAGCTGTTGTAGCCCCAAAGTTGGTCCAGATAGAAATCCCTTTTTTTTGATGCATTCTTTAAACAATGTGAAAACAAACAGCAAAAAACAAAACAAACTCTAATGTCCTAGATAACTTATTGTCCAGAACCAAGCAATGAACTAAAATAAAAAGAGACTAGACAACAAAGAGCTAACTCCTGTATAATACAATTAGAATCCGTTAAAAGAAAGAAAACTTATTCTGAAAAGTAAAGTGTCCTATCTAGTGTTCAGACTCTTCTCCAGACATTCAACAATCAAATAACAACTGAGCCTAGAGGTGATGTACATTTGTGAACAATTAAATTGCTTTAATTTCTAGAATAAATTACAGCATACACAAAATTTGCATAAATTTAAATATACCTTAATTAAGAGCAAAAGAAAAATAAAAAAATCAATTAACATATTACAAAAATAATAATAAAATCTGTAAACACAAAAAAAGTTTTAAAAATAAAAAAAAAATATTTGGCTTCAGTTCTAAACCTTTGTTCCAACCAGGCAATAAGTTAGGAAATAGCCGCTATATAATATTAGCACAACCAAAACTTGGTACTAGAGATAGCCGCTATATAATATTAGCACAACTCAAACTTTGTACAGTGATCACAACTAAAGTGACACAACTTGAATCAATCTTTTAACATGAACACAAAAAAACAAAAACAAAAAAAAAACTAAGAGTGGATAAATAGGAAGTAAACAAACAACACACAACTGAAACTAACTTGTAAAAATCTGTGTATGCAATATAGAATCTATATACAAGATGTGATACACACCATTCTCCTCCCCCCCCCCCCCCCTCCCACACATCTAACTACAACAGACCTTCTACAAGACTCACTCTCCATAACTCTGGTGTACACACACTCACACATGAATTAACTTAGAGAGTCTGTTACATGATACCAACAAAGAATGAGGAAAAATGGCAAGAGCCTTAGAGAAAGAATACAATTCCAATGCAGGGGCGCTAGCTACTTTCTAACCGGCTGTCCAATCGACTAAAAAGGCGGATGCGCCTGGCATTATGTGTTGCAGAATTAATGACTTCCATCCACCTGGAAAACAAAAAGTTTAAAAATATAATTGTACAAGATCATTAATATTAGAATGAAATAAACAGTCATTCTGAATGTGAAAGAAACATCAATATCCAAATGAGTCCTGCTTCAGCAAATGACCTCAAAACATGTTTAAAGTATCTTATTGTATTTTAATTAAGAACAAGTCAAATATATAACAAAAGGCAATTGTGAAGCTTATGACTGTTTAGTAAGAGCAATTACTGTAACTAATGAATGAAACATTTAAACCAAAATGGAACATTTCTTTTAGCCTGCCCCAACTTCCTCTCCCTATGAAAATAAAATCCTAGTTTAGCTTATGTATAAATCTACTCAGAGTATATACAATTCTAATGATAAGCCTATTGGTCTAGACTTAGAAGATGATGCTCAAAATATTCCTGAAGTCTATTCATTAAATAAAGGCTTTAATGAATAAGGCTTACATGCTGAAATATCTGAAGACATAGTCTGTTCAAGATACAGATTATGTTAACCTCTAGCCAAATTTAAATCATTTTTTTTATACTTTCGAACATTATAATGGTTTTTCCAGTCTAGCCAATTAGCTAGTAAAAAATACTTTAAAATAACAAGAGCTTCTAATTTTGACTTTCCAAAGGGGTGTAGAACAGGTGGATTAACATGAAGAGATTATTAAGTGTACCAGCAGATAGTGGGTGCAGGCAAGCAAGAAATTGGTCAGAAACTTTTCTCAAAATAACATCCAGATTGTTTTGTAATTTTCATAAGATTCTATTAACATCCAGATTGTTTTGTAATTTTCATGTGATTCTATTATGTTAATGGACTGCCTGGCTGTTGCATTTGTTCAAACCATTTCTGATCTGAAGAAGTTTGATAGAACTAAATATACAATTACATTTGAGATCATCTCTATTTGATTGTAGTCTATGCTGTACCACTAAACAGTCTTGACACTATTTGAGACACATTAGCACCAAATTATTGAAAATCATGCAGTTTTTCTGAAAACCTCTACATTCAACACATCAAGTGTACAGAACACTCACAAGTTCATTAGATCTTTCAACTAGTCAGAAACTTACCTGAAGAAAGTGTATTCACTTTCAGCCCTAAAGAAATAGACATGATTTTTGAACTGAAGTTTGAACACATGGTCCTTGCTAATGCTATCTTCCTCCTCTGGAACATTGACTGCATAGCCCAGCAGTGGGAGACTGGCCAAGGGGTAATCATCCTGTTGACAAACCAGAAAAACACATTCTGAAAAGCTAATAATGTGTAAACCTATTAAGAACACTTTTATGTAGACATGTAAGAATTATGTTAAAACAATAAATTCGTATTCATCCACATCTCAATCAAAAGTACATAGCAAACCCTACTTTGACAAAAAGTATTTTTAGGACACACTAGTTTGACAAAAAGTATTTTTAGGACACACTAGTTTGACAAAAAGCATTTTTAGGACACACTAGTTTGACAAAAGCATTTTTAGGACACACTAGTTTGACAAAAAGCATTTTTAGGACACACTAATTTGACAAAAAGCATTTATAGGACATTCTATTTAGACAAAAATGGATTTCTAGGATACCATTCTTTGCAAAAATTACAAAATTTCCTAAATAATTCCCTACACATATCCATGTATTAATGTTATTGGTTTTACTGAGTGATTCCAGTTGTTTACTGACTGATTCAGGCAACCTGTTCCATCCTCTAATTCCCAATAGACAAAAAGGAGCACTTGAACAAATTCAACAAGAAAACAACAACATCAATTGAACTCCCTTCTTAGACAGCATCAATAGTCCACACTATATGCACAATAACCTGAAACTGTTGTCTCACCTGGTAAGTCTTGTAGAAAAACAAACAGAAATTGGTAAAGACCACCCAGAGTTTCTGCCAGCCATTGCTTGTCTTAAACTTCCTCAACAAATAGCCACTCAGTTGGTTCTGTAAGGAAACAGAAGGAGAAAAGCAAAAAGTCACACTTTTTAAAAAAATATTGTTCTGACACAAAGCAACATTGCTAGTTATCAAAGTGAATCGTTTGTTGAGAATGGATTCTCTCCCTTGCACCAAACCATTACCTACTTCAGGCACAAATCATTTAAACTCTGTGTCAACTAATTACAGCAGTAACACAATGGCTACAAAGATTATAAAGATTCTCCAAATATTTCACTGAATATTAGTCCCTAGTACCAACTCCTCTTTTCTGGCTCCATTTATGTGTGTGTGTAAGGTACCAGGTAAGCTGGGACAACTAAGGGGAATTTCCTTCATGGCACTAAGACTTTTCAGAACTCTTGTCACTTAGAGCATATGGTCTATACATTCATACTGTTTACAGGTAACTGATGTCAACAAGACATTTGTAAATAATGTCCTAGAATAAATCATCAGTCTATTTCAAAGACACACATTTATCTTCCACTCTTGAGTAAAATGTCATAGATTAACTCAGCAAACTATTTCAAACTGTCATAGATTAACTCAGCAAACTATTTCAAACTGTCATAGATTAACTCAGCCAACTATTTCAAACTGTCATAGATTTACTTAGCAAACTATTTCAAACTGTCATAGATTAACTCAGCAAACTATTTCAAACTGTCATAGATTAACTCAGCAAACTATTTCACACACACAGCATGCACTCATCTCTGGCTGGGTTACTACAAACCTTTAAAGCCTTGTCGTGATCCCTGAAACTGACACTGGTGTTGCGGTGCCAGCAGACGTGCATGGTGGTGTTGGCCCTGTGCTGGAGGAGCTTCTCTTGTGGGGAATTCTGGTTATCAACATTGTCTCCACTGCCCACGTTTTCACTTGAACCTGTCATGAGAGGATGAACTAGGTATTAGGTTGTAGTGACAAACATATTACACATACAATGTGTAACCTTAATTCATGATGGGAACTATTTCATACAGATTGATGAGTTTACCAAGGAATGTGATGGGAACTATTTCATACAGATTGTTGGGTTTACCAAGAAATGTGAGGGGAACTATTTCATACAGATTGTTGGGTTTACCAAGGAATGTGATGGGAACTATTTTATACAGATTGTTGGGTTTACCAAGGAATGTGATGGGAACTATTTCAGACAGATTATTGGGTTTACCATGGAATGTGATGGGAACTATTTCATACAGATTGTTAGGTTTACCAAGGAATGTGATGGGAACTATTTAATGTGATGGGAACTATTTCATACAAATTGTTAGATTTACCAAGGAATGTGATGGGAACTACTTCAGACAGATTATTGGGTTTACCATGGAATGTGATGGGAACTACTTCATACAGATTGTTAGGTTTACCAAGGAATGTGATGGGAACTATTTAATGTGATGGGAACTATTTCATACAAATTGTTAGGTTTACCAAGGAATGTGATGGGAACTATTTCAGACAGATTATTGGGTTTACCATGGAATGTGATGGGAACTATTTCATACAGATTGTTGGGTTTACCAAGGAATGTGATGGGAACTATTTCAGACAGATTATTGGGTTTACCATGGAATGTGAGGGGAACTATTTCATACAGATTGTTGGGTTTACCAAGGAATGTGATGGGAACTATTTCAGACAGATTATTGGGTTTACCATGGAATGTGATGGGAACTATTTCATACAGATTGTTAGGTTTACCAAGGAATGTGATGGGAACTATTTAATATGATGGGAACTATTTCATACAGATTGTTAGGTTTACCAAGGAATGTGATGGGAACTATTTCATACAGATTGTTAGGTTTACCATGGAATGTGATGGGAACTGTTTCATACAGATTGTTGGGTTTACCAAGAAATGTGATGGGAACTATTTCATACAGATTGTTGGGTTTACCATAGAATATGATGGGAACTATAACAAGACTCAGGGAAAAAAAAACACCTTAGATTTAAATCATACTTTTTAATATTTTTTTGTAATAAAAAGCTATTATGGGAAAAAAAATGGACTGTTTGAATGGGCATTGGACATCACTTTAGAATGAATATAATAGACAGGTGTAAAATCTTACTAGCACTAGACTTGAGGCTGGGATACTGTAACTTATCTGCACCAATTCCCTTGACTCTGATCACAGCTTCATTGATATCTTCTATCCATTTATCTTTCTCTTCTTGAGAACTAAAATTAGACATAAGATTGAACAAAAAAATTAAACCTTAACTAAGGAACAAAAAATTAAGCCTAAACACAGACTTAAGAACTAAAAATTAAACCCATACACAGACTTAAGGAACTAAAAATTAAACCATAACCCAGACATACAAAGGAACTAAAAATTAAACCCAAACACATAATTAAGGAACTAAAAATTAAACCCTAACTCAGACATACGAAGGAACTAAAAATTAAACCCAAACACATAATTAAGGAACTAAAAATTAAATCCGAACTCAGACGTACGAAGGAACTAAAAATTAAACCCAAACTCAAACATACGAAGGAACTAAAAATTAAACTCAAACTCAGGCATATGGAACTAATAAATAAATCAGTGATAATAAAATT